CCCCCCAACACCCCCACACCCCCACCCCCGGCCCACACCCTATCTTAGGGGCGGCCTCAGCCCTCCTCAGGAGACCTCTCCAGGACAAGTTTCAGGTGAGTCCCCTAACCTCACATCCTGTGCACCCCCACTTCCCAGAATCCAGGAAAGGGCAGGAATAGGCAGGTCTCCTTTCCAAAAGAGGCAGCAGGTATTGGAAGTAAAGGGTGCACAGGTAGCCTGATACTGTCACTTCAGGAGACACTCCGGCTGAAGGAGAAGGAGGGCTGCCCCCAAGCCTTCCATGCCCTGCTGTCCTGGCTCTTGACCCAGGACAGTGGTGCCATCCTGGATTTCTGGAGGGTTCTCTTCAAGGACTACAATCTGGAACGGTACAGCCGCCTGCATACCATCCTGGACGGCTTCCCAAAAGGTGGGCCTGTGCTGACGGTGGTGCCTGCCATCCCAGCCTGTGGGTAGCATTGAGGCTATGGGTCTAAGCTAAGTGTTTCAGGGAGTCACTGGAACTGGGCTGGATCTTAAGAGGCAAGGGGCAAAGGTCTGGCTCACCTTCCTCAAGAGCGTCCTGTTCTAGAGCCTACCCTGAGGAAAAGGCTCTAAGATGGGGGGGGGGGGGCTTTGTTCCTGCTACAGATGTGGACCTCAGCCAGCCCAGGAAGGGGAGGAAGCCCCTTGCTGGTCCCAAGATCTCTGTACTGCCACCCAGACCCCCCACCAAGAGAAAAGCCCTAGAGGAACCTCGTGCTACCCCACCAGCAACCCTGACCCCAAAGAGCTCCTCCAGCCCAGGTACTCAGGGAGAGGAGCTAGCCAGGGTTTCAGGGCCCTCTCCAACTGGCTCGCAGGAGCTTCTGTCCCAATGATGCCTGCCCAGGGCCAGCCTGCTAGAGCCGTAGTCACCTCTGAGCACTGGTGGAGGCTCAGTACCTCTCAGCTTCTTCCTGCTCTGAAGGCTGAGTTCCTGGCTGGTGAGGCAGGCAGGTGGTTTTGATTTCATTTCCGTTGAAGAAGGAAACGGCCTAGCCTGGCTTAAGAACACTCAGGGGGTCAGGAAATCCCTTGGTCTGGCCCTACCAGGTGCTCTCCCCCGCCTCACTTTATACCCTGGACCCACCAACACCACCCCAGCCCAGAAAGGGCATTCATTGCCTTCATGCTGCTTCCAACTCCCCTCAGCAGGCTCCCATCCAAAGACCAAGCCCCCTAAGAAGCCAGAGGGCAACTTGGAGTCACAGCGCCTCCCGCTGGGGAATGGTGAGTAAGACCAAGAGAACAAGGGGCTGTGTGTGTCGAGGTTGGTGGGGATCTGATCCCATTGGCCTCAGCTGGATGGCCAAGTCCAAAAATGTTGCCAGTCACCCCACCCACACTGCCCTGAGTGTCTCCTCCCAGATGTCTGCCTGTTTAGTGCTCCCAACCTTCAGGCCAGCCTAGAAACAGCCATGACAAAACTATTCCTGCTCCTCAGCTGGGCCCAACCTTGTTACCGTCAACGGCACACCAATCCCAGTATCACATAGACCCGTACTTCCTGGTCCTCACCCCCCCCCCAAGATGGCCTAGGAACTCTGTGTCCTGGAACAGCGCAGGTCCCGCATCATGAGATCCTAATTAATCTATCGTTGTGCTCAACTCTGCGAACACTTGCCGTCCCGCAGACCCGTGCTTGTGTTTGTACATGGGCATCCTCTTGTCCTGTACCTTCTCTAGGAATCCAGGCCATGTCGGCTTCCGTCCAGAGAGCTGTGACTGTGTCCTCTGGGGAGGTCCCAGGAACCCGAGGGGCTGTGGAAGGGATCCTTATCCAGCAGGTGTTTGAGGCAGGTAAGTGCATGGGGAGCAGGCTGCCAGGGAGACCCAGGCCCTCGGGAGCAACTGTGGCTGTGGCCAAGGCTGAGAACAAGGCAGCTAGTGTGCCCCTATGAAACTCTGCTGGCTTTGGGGTACAATGATGCTGAAGGCCCATCCGTACATGGCAAGGCCTTCTGTTGGGCCACTGGGCCATTGTCACATCCAGGCATTGAATGTCCACCCCCTCGTTCGTGGGTGCAGCTGAGTCACAGTTGACATCCCTAGACAGTTTCTCCAGGTCTCTCAAGTGCCCACCGAGGACAGCCCACCACATCCAAATGCCCTTGCCCCAGGCATGTATGTCCTGTACAGTCTCCTCATGATTTATCCAGGCTCCTTCCACAATTGCCTACCTACTGGGTAGGCTAGCAGGTCTCACCTTATACACTACCCACGTCATCTGGACAGGACGGAGCCACTCACCATTGCAGTATCTGCTCTCCAGCATCTTCTCTGTCCTGGGCACCAGATGCTGTAGACAGCCAGGATGGCCTGGGAGCTGATGCCAGCCCTGGCCTGTCCCCATTAGAGCAGCCCCAAGATTCTTGTCTGACTCTGCTGGGGCTACCATAACCACAGATTCCAAAGTCAAGATGTGGGTGGAGGCTAAGGAGGGTCCCTTCCTTGTCTCTAGCACCTAGTGCTGTTGTGGTGCTCACTTCTGGGCTGTGGCTATGCCTCTCCTGTCTGACTGTGTGTGTCTCTGTTTTCATCTTTCCTTGTTAGAACATTGGATTTAGGGTCTAGAACTACATCATCTTAAACAATTACATCTCCAAAGTCCGTTTCCAGTAAGGCCCTACTCTGAGCTGATGAGTGGACACTATTTATCTTAGTAAATTCCAGCAAAGAATCCCTCACTATATCCAGAACCCAGGCCTGAGACTTGGCTGTGATTAGGGGATGGGGAGGAATGACAGGCTTCAGTTTCTCCCAGACCCCTGATGTGAGCTCAGGCCCAGTTTCCCTCTCTTCCCAGGAGGCTCCTCTAAGAAGTGCATCCAGGTTGGGGGCGAGTTTTACACTCCTAGCAAGTTTGAAGACCCCAGTGGCAATGCAAAGAACAAGACCCGTGGTAGTGGCAGCGTAAAGCCAGTGGTCCGAGCCAAGGGAGTCCAGGTCACTATCCCTGAAAGCATTGTCTAGTATGTCCATCTTTGAGGAGCTGGGCCTTGGATAGCTTCCCCTCACCCACAACATAGCCAGGAGTTCTTCCTGGGGATTGGGAGTTACTTCCCAGAAGCACCTAGTCCTGGTGGCCACTTGGATCTGCCCTGGCCACCTCATTATTATCCTGCGTGTCTCATAGGGTAGAGATGAGCAGAGAATGGGCCCACAGTGTGGGGTCCCTACCCTTCCAGCCCTTTCCAGTGAGCCCCAGGTTCACCAGGTAAGCCCCAAGAACAGGGGAGCCTGGCTTCTCTATCATTTTTCACCCAGATCTTCTGTCCCTTGTCCTGGGCATTTAGCTGCCTGGAACCCAGAGAGGCCTGAGTTCCTGCCCTTGAGGGGCTCCTCCCTTCCTCCTCCTCCTTCCCTTCTCTCTCCTCCTACTCCCTCCCCCTCTGCTCTTTCTTGGAAGTGGTTTTTTTCCCACGATTTCAAATTAGTCAGAGCAGGTGAGGTTCTTCCAGAGTCTTTTAAAATCACACATTCAGCTGGGTGGTGGTGGTGCATACCTTTAGTCCCAGCAGTCAGGAGGCAGAGGCAGGCCGATCTCTGAGTTTGAAGCCAGCCTGGCCTACGAAATGAGTTTCAGGCCGGTCAGGACTACACAGAGAAACCCTGTCTCAAAAAACAATTTTTTTTCACACATTCACTCCAGACTACAAAAAGCATCTTTTTTTAAAAAAAGATTTTATTTATTTATTATGTATGCAACATTCTGCTTCCATGTATATCTGCACACCAGAAGAGGGCACCAGATCTCATAACGAATATTGTGAGCCACCATGTGGTTGCTGGGAATTGAACTCAGGACCTCTGGGAGAGCAGTCAGTGCTCTTAACCTCTGAGCCATCTCTCCAACCTACAAAAAGCATCTTAGCTGGAGTTGGGGCAGAAGTGCTGCTAAATCTGGAGTATAAGGGTTCCCTGGGGACATCAACCTCACCCTCTCCTCCCCAGCACCGCTGGCTGGCTGTGCCTGAACCAGCTATCATTGATTATATGTCCCAACACCTCAGAGCCAGGCACTCTGCTGGCCCTGGATATCAAAGGTTGAAGGGTCTAGTTCTGTTCTGCTCCCAAATGTGCCTTGGGTATTTGGGGGCCTACGGAAGTTCACGGAAGTATTCCCATGAACTTGGTGGTCTCTGTGCAGGGCTAGCATAGCCTGGTATCTGGGAGCTTCTTGAGGAGGCGGTATCCAGACTCAAAATTACACCTACCCTGACAAAAGCATAAGGAGGGGAATTGGGGGTGACAGAAGGTACCCAGGGCTGACAGGAAACCCAACAGACCCATCTACCCACTATCCTATTTGGTAGTTGGAGTCCACTTAGGGGGCTTGCTTGGTACCCAGTGCTTCTTCCAGAGAGGAACACCCTCAAGGACTAGTACTGTAAAGACATTGGGCAGCACAGAGGCCAGGCAGGGGCCATCCATGGAGCAGGGAGGGAATCTGGGAATCGGTCCCTGGCCATGAGCATTGCAGGAGGAGCCTCTCCAGGGCAGGCTCTCAGGCAGGCACTGTGCTCCCTTCTGGGTCTGCATGGGCCCCTCTCACCTGGTCAGAAGAACGAGGATGAGTGTGCTGTGTGCCACGATGGAGGTGAGCTCATCTGCTGTGATGGTTGTCCCCGGGCCTTCCACCTGGCTTGCCTGTCCCCACCTCTGCGGGAGATCCCCAGGTGAGCAGAGTTCCCCTTGCTACTTGTATCCTGGTCCCCCAGATCCATCACTGTCCTTATCTGCTGACCTTGAAGAAGCCTAGCCCCACACATGGACAGTAAGGGTCCTGCAGGAAGAGCCGTGCTTTAGGACACTGGCCATGGGCACGGTAGGATTTTCCTACCATGTCACCTTCCTTCCCTCCTGCCACGTGGCTCACTCAGGGCAATAGGCCTAAAGGCAGCCACAACACAGTGCCCCAAGGCAAAGGTGCGCATATTATGCCTTTCACCCCAGGTTCCTAGCCCAAACTTCCTTGGGCACAGGTCTTTTTCCCCAACGTCCCCCTAAGCCTCTCAGGTAAGGTGGGGGACACAGAAGCCACAAAGTCACACTCTCCACCCCATCATTGATTACACAGGCCTTTGATCTGGGGAGTGCAGCAGTCTGTGGTGTTCTAGCCTTGGCTGTGCCCCTTGTTTTACCAGGTCTCTCTGGTCCTCTTCCACCAGAGTCCTTCCCCTCCTATCCTTGCTGCCCCACTGCCATCCCTACGGGAACATGTATGTTCTGAGGATGGATCAATGTGGTTGAGGGAGGGCCTACACCTGGGCCATGCCTACAGGCACAGGCACTGAGGGTTACTGAGCATAGGGAATTCTTAAAGATTAGCTGAGACACAGTCTAGGGGACACTGACCCTCTGGCCAGGCCACCCTCCAGGGCTAAATAACCCTCATCCTACTGAACTTCCCTTGTGGTAACCGACTTAACCATTTCTGGGTTTGGTTTCCCATGGTGACATGGAGGGTCCTCAAGCTGCCCCTGCCATGCAGTTCTGGGGTGTGTGTGTGCCTATGGTCTCTGCTTTGTCTGTCCTGCATGCCTGTGACTGATGGCCTTGTGAATAGCGGCCTCTGGAGATGCTCCTGCTGCCTCCAGGGCAGAGTCCAGCAGAACCTGTCCCAGCCTGAGGAGTCCAGGCCCCTGGAGCCACCTGCAGAGACCCCGGTATGCCCATCCTGGGTCATCCCCTTCCTTTTCTCTGTCCCTCGACAGTCCTACCTTCTGGCTTTTCCTGTGAGTTCTGCTTGTCCTGGCTGTAGTGCCATGCTCTATTCCAGCCTGAGCAACCTTTCTGGTGAATTCCCTGCTGGGCCTCGGGAGCTTGTCCTTACAATGGCCCAGTTCCTCCTGCTCTGTGGGCCTGAGCAGGGTACATTCCCACCACTCCTAAAATTCCCCAAAAGCTTTGGTAACTTTCTGTTGTTACACCCCACATCCTGTTAGAAACCCAATTTGCTCTGACAGGCCCTGGGGCCACTGTCAGCAGCTCGAACATGGCAAGGATGGAAGAGTTTGCTGAGAGCCATGGAGCCACACACCCAGCCCTTCTTTTCTGTTTTTAAAATTTATTTTATGTGCATTTGTGTTTTGTCTACATGTGTGTCTGTGTGAGGGTGTCAGATCCCCTGGAACTGGAGTTACAGACAATGTGAGCAGCCATGTGGATACTGGGAATTGGATGCTGAGTCACTATCTGCACCAAGCCTTTTCAACCTCAAACCCACCACAGCAGTCCAGTCATGACTCCTGTGGTGCTGAGCAGTGCCCTGAGTGCTGACCCTTGAATTCCAGATCCTCCTGGGGCTAAGGTCAGCTTCAGAGGGGACCAGGGGCCTGTCCAGAGAGCTCCCAGCCAGCTCAGACGCTGCCATCACCTATGTGAACCTGCTGGCCCCACCTTCTGCAACCCCCCTGCCTCTGCTGAGTGCTGGGATTGAGGGGCAGCAGGTGAGTGAGGGGACCCCTGGGACCTAGGTGCTGTCTTCTGGGAGCTCTTGACCTACAGGGCATGGTAAACCCAAAACAGAACAGCTAGTGGACCCCTAGGGGCTAGGAATTAGAAGGACATTCCAGTGGTCCAGGAGGACTCTGCCAGGAGGAATGTGTTTGACTAAGGGAGGGGGTATACCAGGAGGCACAGGGGCTGTGGGAAAGCACTAGAGGGACTCTTGCATGGCTCTCAACCCTGCTACTCAACTCTGATGTCCCAAAATCCAGCCGAGTCTTCTAGATGGCTCAGCAGGTAAAGGGGCTTGCTGCCAAGCCAAGCCTGAGGACCTGAGTTGGATCCCGAAGACTCACATGGTGGAAGGAGAGACTCACTCTGCAAGTTGTCCTCTGGTCTCCATGCAGACACTCACAAATAGTGAATTAAGGGAGAGAGGGAGGGAGGGAGGGAGGGAGGGAGGGAGGAAGGAAGGAAGGAAGGAAGGAAGGAAGGAAGGAAGGAAGGAAAAGGCCTAGCTTCGTTATCTGGGCAACACATGCCTCCCCTCACCCCCTCCACGCAACTCCAGTGAGGCAGGACAGCAAAGGCAGAATCTCCTTGGGAGACTCAGAATCCCCCAAGCCCTGCCCACTTCCGGCAGCCACCTTCCCTACAAGCTCCCCTGGAGCCAGACAGTTGGCGGGAGCAGGGCTGGATGAACTGACCCTAGCATGCAAGGCACTTTATGACCATTGCTAGGGTCACCCCTGCCTTCCCTGGACACCAAAGCATCAGAACTTACAGTCCCGCTCATGCGATTTGCAACCACGAGTTTTCCGGGTTAACCAGGTTGGTGGGGCATATGGCGAGCACCTCACAGGCCTTGAGTTGCTGTCCACATTGCTCGATCACACCCCTGCAGGGTCCGGCACCAGGCGCACGGTGTGGTGTGTGCGGGGATGGCGCAGACACGCTGCGGTGTACACACTGTGCTGCCGCCTTCCACTGGCGCTGCCACTTCCCCATGGCAGCAGCCCGACCAGGGTGAGTGAGGCGGTGCAGGCGGGAGAGTAGTCAACATCCCCATGCACCTGGAAGGTTCTCGGACGCGAGCAAGCTTTCGCCACTCCTCTAGGACGAACCCTCGCTGCAAGTCCTGCTCTGCAGACCCCACTCCCACGCCAGGCGAGGCAGCGCCCACTTCAGCGCGCCCAGCCCCTGTGCTTGCCAAGGTCAGTGTGTGGCCAGTTGAGGTGGAATCCTGTGGAAGTGGAGGAGAATTTAAAGCCATATCCACTAACCTTGTGTCCCATTTTATTATTTTTGTTTTTGTCTTTTTTTTTTTTTTTGGTTTTTCAAGACAGGGTTTTTCTGTGTAACAGCTCTGGCTGTCCTGGAACTCACTCTGTAGGCCAAGCTGGCCTGGAACTCACAGAGATCCTCCTGCCTCTGCATCCCCCAAGTGCTGGGATTAAAGGTGTGGGCCACCACCACAGGGCTTTGTTTCTGACTTTTAGAGGCAGAGTATCACTACAGATCTCTGGCTGTCTTGGAACTCACGATATAGACCAGGCTGGCCTCAAATTGGCAGTGGTCTGCCTGCCTCTGCCTCTCAAATGCTGGGATTAAAGACTTGTGTCACATTTTTTTTTTTTTTTTAAAGACTAGTGCTGGGTTCAAAGGTGTCCACCCAGCTCCACTCACCTGCTGACCCTCAGTCCCAGCCTGAGAATCTCTGTGTCAGTTTGCTCTGTGGTGGGGTACTGGCTGCTGCTTCTACAAGCTGGAGTCCTGCTTCCGGTCCCCAGCCTGCCGCTAGGTTGGGTTGACTGTTAACTCTTTGGTTCTAGGTGGGGGACGACTCTGCTGGTCATGAGCCTGCTCTGCAAAGGGATGATCTGGAGTCCCTCCTGAATGAGGTAATGTGTCACCTGGCTTTGGCTGTGCTCCCAACTCCTTTGCTGCCTCAAGTCAGGCAGCTCCCAGCAGTATAGTGCCGCCTCACCCCCACTGCTGCTCTTCCCAGAACAGTGGGACACCATTTCCATGCAGGAGCCCCAGGATGTGGAGTCCTACAGGAGATGAGCTGACTTCCTCCTGCCTGTAATCCTTCCCCTCCTCCTCCTCCCAAGAGCCTGGCACCTGGAAGTCCTATTGTCCTCAGGACTTTAGAACCAGGGGACTTAAGCTCTTGACTCTTGAAGGAGAGCTGGTAGGGTGGTCTTTCAGGGACCTCTCTCTTACCCCTCCCAACTCAGGCTTCTGCATCTTAAGATGGCCCGGTTGACCAGATGTGTTGGTTCCCAGCACTTGGGAGGCAGACGGAAGATTGTGAGGTGGATGCTAGTCTGGACTAGGTGAAACCCTATCTCAAAAACCTGAGGGGCAAGAGAAATGGCTCAATGGCTGAGTGTACTTTGCTCTTGCAGAAAGCCAAGTACGGTTCCCAGCAATCATGTCAGGTGGCTTGTAACTGTTTATAATTCTACCTTAGGAGATCTGTCGCCTCTGTCCTCCTCGGGAACCTGTACAGGCAAACATCACACATTTAGAAACAGGAGGAATAAATTCTAAGAACTTTGAAGAAAGGAGAGGAGGCGGTAGAATTACCGAGAAGCCAGACTTTTCAGGGCTTCATCTACTGGAAGGGCACAAACTCCTTCTGTGGAAGTACAGAGAGAGATGGATGACCCAGCATGAATGAGCATTTGAAAAAATGAGTACCCGCCCCCCATGACTTCCTAGTCCTGATAGGATTCCTGACTCCTGAGCAGAGGGGAAGGATCTAGCTCAGAAAGCCACCAAGAAGAGGAAGGGACAGCCTGGCAGCCAAGCCAAGAGATTACATGTTGCTGTAAAAAAACACCCAGTGAAGTGCTTTACTGGCATGTCCTGTGGGGCCTCAGGTCTCAGCCCCCCACCTTGTTAGAGGGTCAGGGTGGGTGATACCTTCATGTCAGGGTGGTGATGATTCCATAGACACGGCGGGGTGGGCACCAGCTCTGAGGAGGTCCAGCTGGTCTGGACTTCTGTGCTACTCTCTTCCAGCACTCCTTTGACGGCATCCTGCAGTGGGCCATCCAGAGCATGTCACGCCCGCTAGCTGAGACACCACCCTTCTCCTCCTGAGCCCAGGAGACCCAGGAGGGTGGGCAGCATAGCACCAGCCCCCCACGCCATGTCATCGGATGAGGCAGAATAGCCTTACAGCCACTCTGTTCTGAGAGGATGTGCTCTGTCACTCCGGCAGCTGGGCTGGTTAGGACCAAGAGCTGGCAGGTTCCAGCTGTCAGTACCCAGCTTGCAGGTGGTCCTGGTCTTTGTGGGAACACAAGGCCATCCTGTGTCCTGAAATTAAAATCACTTCTGTGGGCTTTGAGGTGCTCTGTAGTGGTTGTATTGGGGTATCCATACTCCTGGTGCTTGACACTATGTCGGGTGGAAGGGGTTCACTTATGGAAGAGGGGTTCACTTGAGGAAAAAGCACAAGGAGGGGTGAACAGCACCCTGTACCCTTGGAGCAAAGCCTGAGGCCCTGTCATGGTCCCCAAGACCCTGTGTGGCTTTATCCCATCTCCACCCTTGTGTCAGTCCCCCTGTGCCAGCCCCTTCTCCCATCATTCAGTTCTATGCCAGGTCCTTGACACTTGGAATTTTCTGTCCTTGCTATGCCATGTGTCTGGCTTCTCATCCTTGAGACCTCAGTCACCTCCAGTGTCACTTCATTTACTCAGTTTTTTAAAATTCCATCTCTGCTGTATCTCTTCTATCACTGAGTGTTTTCCCAGGCAGGATCTAGAGGGCTATTCTAGTGAGAGGCCCAGTTTCTGCAAACAGTCATATCTTAGACAAAGTAATGACTGTGAAGCTGGAACTGCAGAAGGGACAGGGGTATGCTGTGTAATGGCTTGGGAGCCTGGAGGAGGTCAGGGAGCCTGTGTGCACAGTGGAAGGAAGGCCTGACCTTCACATAGCACAGACACTGGGCATGGGAGTCACCAGTGTCACCAGCCAACCACAGTGAGAGCAGAGGTTTTGTGTTGGTATCAGAAATACGGGCTGTTCTACTCTTTTCCTAGATTGTCAGCTGTAGTTGGAGGCTTCTCAGCCCTCCCACCAGTTCCCAGATAACCACTCTAAGGCTTAATTATAATGATTTGGCCAATAGCTCAGGCTTGTTATTGGCTAGCTCTTACTTCTTAAATTGACCCATTTCTAATAACCTGTGTATCACCACATGGCTGTGGCTTACCAGTAATGTTCTGGAAACTTCTACTACATGGCAACTCTTTGACTCTGTCTTCTTCTCTTATCTCTGTTTTGATTTCCCACCTAGCTATATTCTGCTTGGCCATTGGCCAAATCAGCTTTATTTATCAACTAATAAAAGCAACACATATTCATAGCATATAGGTGGCTATCCCATATCAATCAGGCCCTCACCAAGTGTGTGTGGCTAAGCCCAGTCTTGAGCTCTCTCCTGTCTCATCTCCAGATAGAGCCCTCAGATGCACCCCACGGGACCTCTATGGCACATCGACATGTGCAGGTGGTGCCTGCAGACCTCACCAGGCATGGGGTTCAGAGCTAGGCCAGTGTCCTTAGCCAAGATGCATGGCTTGTGTGTCCCTATGTGTGTCTTGAAATAGTCCAGACTATAGCTAGAGGTGATGACCAAGATGCCTAGTTCTGGGCACCATGGTGAGTGCAGCTTAGCACTCCTGAAGGCTATCCCTAGGATAGCTGGCATCTGACTATTGTCCACACTGTTGTTATACACATGAGTGAGCAGCTGCCTGTACCAGAGGCAGGGGCCAGTGGGGAATAGGGGGGGATCTCAGTTCCATGGATGCACTTCAAACTCACAGAGACCCACCTGCTTCTGCCTCCCGAGTGCTGGGATTGAAGATGTGCCACCACCACCCGGTTGCACTCAAACGTCTCAGTGTGGAAACTGAGTGTCACAGATGCACTTGAACTGGCATAGATGGGCGTGGCTTGTCAATGATGTTGAGTGCTACAGACACACTTGCCTTCTCAGTGTGGAAGCTGGGTGCGGTCAGGAAGGACTCAGAAGCATTGGTTCAGAACTGCTCATTGTAAAACTTAGACACACGGAGCAGGGCTCTGCCTGAGTGGGTGTGGGCATGTGTGTGCCTGTGTGTGAACACTCTGTCCCTGTTTACCATGGTGGGGGGGAGGGGGTTCCCAGAAGCTGGGACTGCAGCACACAGCTGCTGTTCTTGTGAGATGTTCTGGCGAGGGAGATCACAGACAAAATGAGTCTACTACCACCACCCTTGGTGGGAACAGCAGGGGTGGCTTGGGGCGGGGGTGTGGGGGGAGCTGGGATTTGCCAAGAAGCTGCCCAGGGAATCCCGGATACCGCCATGGTCATGCTGACATAGTTCCATAGAATTCTCTCCAGGTGACCCCTCCCCAAAAGTGGAGGAGGGGTCCAACCCCAGCCCTTCCCAGCCATGGACTGGCTCCTCACAGGGCAGCACTGGTACCCCGTGTCTCCACTTGGGAATCCTGGGGGACAATAAAGAGCCCCCAGCATCGCCAGAACACTTCTCTGGACAAGTCCAAGAAGGATCGAAATCCAGGTCCACCCCCTTTTATGGGGACCATAGACCTCCAGAAATTGAGCCCTTTCCTTTTACTCTAGCTTCCTCCTACCTGGGACCTGAACCCAGGTCCTGGCCCCACGAAGCCACCCATAGACAGGCTCTTTGAGGAAACAAAAGATAAGTCTGTTTTGACTTATTTGGGGGAGGAAGTGCAGCAGGACACTTTCAGGCCGCCCCGCCCCTTCCTTCTGTCCTCTTCCTGTGTGTCATCAGCCCCCACTGTCCACAAATGCCTGCTTCACTTTGTCATTGAGTCTAGCTTTTTAGTTTTGTTTTGTTTTGAAGCAGGGTTTCTCTGGCTGTCTGGTACTCACTCTGTAGACCAGGCTGGCCTTATACTCACAGAGATCCTCCTGCCTCTGCCTCCCAAGTGCTGGGATTAGGGATGTGCATCACCCTGCCAGGCTTTTAGCTGGTATTTTGAAAGTAATGAAACATGGCTTTCTGCATTTAGGTGGGGCAGATCCCTGTCCCTGTAGCTCTCACCTCACTTTCTTTGGCTCCTCTCATGGGCAGCCCATGGGTTTGTCAAAGCATCTCTTGTTCTTGTCTGTCTGTGGGTGGTTTGTCTTGTTCATCCAGAACCCAAACGAGGACTGCCCCGATAGTCCCGATCTTAGCTGAGCAAGCAGCAGGTGGGTATGTGAGCGAAGCAAGCTGGTGTGTGAACTGCTCCAGGCTACAGAGCAGTTAAGCCTGCCTTCCCCTGAGTGTAATGGGGTTGCTATGATGAGCACTGCAGACCAAGGCTTACACAGGTCTGCTGACCCTGGTGGCTGGAAGGAGATCAAGGTATGGGCAGGTGTCTACTCCCTGTAGCTTACTGCTGGCTTCTCCTCCCCGAGTCTCCCGTGTGTGTGTGTGTGTGTGTGTGTGTGTGTGTGTGTGTGTGTGTGTGTGTGTGTGTGTGTGTGTGTGAGTGTGTGTGTCTGGGTCTCCTTTTGTTGTTGGTATTGTTGGAGACGGTGTCTTACTATGTAGCCCAGGCTAGCCTCTGGCTCCCATCCTTTTACTTTGCATTATGAATGCTGAGATTACAGGCAGTGCCACTGGGCCCAATCTCCTGTTTCACTAATGACTGAGCCCCCACCATGATGGCCCGCCTTCAAGATGGGTCCTTAGACAGACACACAGAGCTGACAGGAAGGAGACCTGAGGACACAGGCTCCTGACCCCAAACCTAAGAGCTGTATTGTTTCAGGATGCTCTAAGTCCATTTTAGATGTTCACCCTGGACAAGCACAGGTGAAAAAGACAAATGAGGGCCCAAGTTAACAAAAAAAGATTGCAAGATACAGAGGAAAACTAAAACAATAATATGGCGTGTTCCAAAACAAGGATGTTCACAGAACAGCTATTGTAGGGGAGGGCGGGGCCAATAAGATGGGAGGAGCACTATGACCCAGGGCGCCAAGCTGCCATCCTGAGACTCCTGACGCACTGAAATAGTGCATCCAGCAGCCCTGGGAGCAGCAAATCAGATTCCAAAATATTTCTCTACATCCTTGAGACCCTCCAGTTTCCGAAGGAGGCAATCTCCGAGAAGAACAATCTACAGGCCTCAGACAGACAGACAGAATTTACAGAAAGCAGTCCCGAGTCCCAAGCTAGTTCCTAGGATGACTCTGATATGAATGGTGTCCTGCCGCCACATGCCCGTCACACACAGGCTGTCAAGTGAGTGACGATAGACTGGAAGCCTCGAAGAGCCTTCTTGTCCGTGACCTCAATGCCACCTGGTGGCCACCCAGGGAAACAGCTGCCTCTGCTGGCCTAGGGAGACTAGCCAGGGAGTCCTGAGCCTCCTTACTCCTGCGCAGGTAGGTTTCTTGATGACTGACTGACTATTCTTGCCTTAGTCTTATGCATAGTGTGTTTTGCATTTGTTAAGTTATAAGTGGAGCTCAGCCCAGGGGAGATTGAACTTCGTCATCTGTATCCCGTTCACTGAATCATTGCTTACTGCCCTCCGGAGACTCTGAGGTTTCCGGCTGCCACTTGTTAATTGGGATGACATGGGCTTGCTTAGCCATGTGCTCCTGGGACCAATATAGAGTCAGATTCCTTTTGGAAATGGTTTTAGACATATTGATTTTATTTTGTGTGTATGAGTGTTTTGCCTGCCTGCATATGTATTGGTACCTGCAGAGGTCAGAAGAGGGCGTCAGATCCCAAGAACTGAAGTTACAGAAAGTTGTGAGCTGTCTGAGTTCTGTGGTGAGAGCAACAGGTGCTCTTAGCTGCTGAGCCCTCTCCCCAGCTGAGCCCTGTCTGCTTCTTTACTGGTGGATGACAAAGTATTCTTAGTCTCGAAGCTCCTGCAGTCTGTAGACTCATTTTCTGTCCTTTTGTCACTATGCCAGGGTAAGATTTTTCTCCCTCATGCAAAGCTCTGAACTAGGAGTTAACCAAGCAGTTATTCAATGTGTTTTATACAGTCAGTGTGAGGTAGGGTCTTGACTGTCACTCTCTGACAGCTGAGGGGGCAGAGGGACT